ACCTCAAACAATAGACAGAGCACTGCCTCATTGTTTAATAATTTGTTCAGTCATTAATTATTGTGCCATCCTTGCAATGTTTTCTGCTTTTGATGTGAAGCAGGGTTTCCACAGAGGCACAAACGCATGCCTATATTATGAATGGCAGACGTCACACGCCACACACACACACAGAAACACAAGGGTTGGTCTAGATGCCATTCAAACTGATGCCACATGCACACATGCGAGACATGAAAAGCATCTTGTGGCTCTTTATCCATGAGTTCTCCTGTCAAAACACGCTTTAGGGTTCCAGATCTAAAAATAAAGGCAATCCCATGGACTGTTTTATTCAAAAGGCTCCACTATTTATGAGGAAAGAAAAACAGAGGAACCAAATCATATATTTAACTGGTCAGGATGCAATTTCATTGTATGATCAAGTATGCAGTTTGTTACGTTCGTTTTTTTTTCTCCCCTATAATTTATTCATTACAAAACAAGGCATGAATTAAACAGCCAAAATGTGTTTTCACATTTTTGTCTTTGTTTTCAAAGAAACATGTAATTACAAAAGTACTTTTTTTTTTAACAGAACATTTTTTTAATATTCCATCAGACAGTCGATCAAAAACAAAAAACAGCCTAAATGTAATTTAAAAGAAAAAAATGTACATAGAAAATAAAAAATCCAGTGAAAATACCAAACTGAAAGACCAAAACTCAAGAGACTACATTACCCAATGATATGTATGCCCAATATAAAGTAATGTATTTCACATTGGATAACAGCAAATGCAGAAATCTAAATATAAATATATTTGTGTGCAGATTCATAGTTTACTCATATTGCTTTTTATGCAAAAATACTTAATTACAGAAAGTTCTGATAACAACACAATCAGCAAGAAGACCCATCAATGTAGAAAACAAACTTAAAAACAAAAAAAGATATATTAGCTATTGACACTGACAGTCCCTTATAATATATGAAAGTCCACCAAAAGAATGGCATTATGTGCTAGCAAAATTAATATTGCACATTTTAATTTCACAGACTTTAAAACTGTGATTTTGATCTCTATGGAAGACGGTCATGTGTTTACAGCCTGACTATAAACTGTAATGCCTGTATTTCTGTGACAATATGAATGTTTGTAACTCAGTAAAAATAAGACTAGTCAAAATACTACTGACACAATCTGTTTAATAATCATACATGACAACAGCTCTCTCAATTAGTCTCTGATCGTATCCTTAAAGGTGCATTATATAAGTTTGACACCTGCAAGCGCAGGTTGCCAGATTGACAACCAACAGGAGAAAGTCTGAAGATCGAGCCTAAAGGCTGATTTAAATGGTATTCTATATAAAAGCAAAGGCATCTGATAAAGTGTATATTTTCCATATTATAAGAAGTTTGTTTTCTAACCAACACCTCGAATACTAAAAAACAGCTTCTATTTTTTGCAGCTGAACAGGACAAACTGAAAATGATCACCTCAGGTACACCTCATGTGCTTTATTCAGTGTTAAATTGTAACAATGCGAGTTTAAATCCCATTTTAAAATGACATTTATTGCCATACTACTGAAAACAGCAGCGGATAAACTAAAAAAAAAAAAAACATTAGAAATTAAACTTTAGAAATAACTGTGAAACAACACGTTAGTGAATCAGCATCTACATTTAATGTTAAAGTTTAATATGCATTCATTAGATTATAAACCTTACCATTTTGTAAGTGAGTGCATATGCTGTACTTCTGAATGGCTGTATTTACGTGTAAATTTCTTTCGTGCTGTGTCTGGTGTAAACAGCCAAATTGCTTATCACTGCAAATCTAGTCACATTGCGTGTTGTTTGAACATGGGATTACAATGTAACCTGCTCACCTAATGTCTACATTCCTAATATTAATATTATTTGCTAATTAATAACCTCATTTGGAACTCTGAATCTGAGTCTCATTTCATATTCTGCTACTGCCCACTAGAAGTCGCAATTCGGTCACAGACGCATGCTTTGAGAGCCTTTCTGAATGAATGAATGAAATACGCTGCTTTCCATCAAGGCAACCCAGGGTGCTGAATTACAATTGGCGATTCTGGCATTGGGCTGGTTAAAAGAACCAAAACAAAGACAGACGTTTCAGCACATAACGCAAATTTTCAAAGCAGAATATCTGACTTCAGCATTGTAATTCAGTTCACTTGGCATGTTACTTAAATATCGGCAAACATATTGAGGTATTTTGGATTTAACCGATTTAACCATGTATTTTTATAAAGTGTCAAGTTACTAAATAAACCAGGTTTTAAAGATATTTACAGGTAAAGCAGGTCTATGAGAATCTTTAATAAACTCTCAACACGGGCCTGAAGATCCTCAGTTAAACATGCTGTCGATCAGCATAAGTGCAACACACAGAGAGAAGGCTGATTCTGCCAGTCTGAGTTATTTCTGTAGAGCCGGTGTTTGAAACTGCAAATGAATGCTGCACCCTGCACTTACATTGACTGACAGCTGCATCTGGGAAGCTTTGTACTGCATCTGCTACTGGCTTATGTAATGCATTTAAAATGGGCATCTTACAGTCATTTTAGAGAACAGCTTAGATAATGGATGCAAATTTTGTTAAAAATTTGCTCTCGCCATCTCTTACACATTTGCACTCTAGGACAGAGAAAACTCTTACAAATCCTTAAGTTTTCCAGCAAAAGTTACACAGCCACTGCTTTCCATTGTTAACCGAACAGCATCGACTAATGCTCAACTGGACCTAGGAATGAATGACATGGAAAAGAAAATAATGACATTTTATCTAATAATTATACTATAGACTAGAGCTGAAATATGGCCGATAAGTAAATTATCGTTTTGATAATTATTTATTAATTTCATTTTGATTAGATTTAACGGGCTATTTGGAAAAATCTAAAACTTGTTATTTTTGACACTGAAAGCTGTGAAGCAAACTTTCGACAAATTTTCACATGTTTTTGTAGAAGGAGTGTCTTCCTGTTCTTTGCATATTGACATTCCTGATAGGCACTTTTTGCAATAAATGCAAAGCATGGTATCCATACAAATGAATTGAGATATGGTAAATGTTACATTTAAGCATTATTAATTGATGTGTTATTGTGTTTATTTTGGGTGAGTGTTAGATGGTGGTCAGCAGTGGTACAAAGGAACAGATTACAAATACTCAAACTACTGTAATAGAGTAGTTTTTCTCATGAATTGTAATTTACTATAGTAGTTTAAGAATGTGTACTTTTACTTTCTCGAGTACATTTTTAGTGCAGTATCGGTACTTGTACTCCACTATTTTCCTTCAACCTGCAGTCACTACTTTATTTTTTCATGTGTATAGTGATTGGCCGAGCAGAAAAATCAGTCCTGCAATTCCTGTGTGATATTCAATCATAATAAACAACAATATTAAAAGAAACTAAATAATCTTTTCAATGTTTTATAAATGGAGTCAGATAAAACAAGGATAAATATATTAATATTCTAAAACACCTCATAAAAAAATTGGAATCAGATAAGAGTTATGTTAAAGTAAATCAAAATTGTGCACTGGAAAGACCGAACATGCAGTGAACCTTCGTCCACCAGTAGACACCGTCATTGGACTAACTGGCTGGACCTTACACCTTTCCAATCAAATCGCACTTAGAAAGTAAATTGCATCATACTGAACAACCTCAACACATGGGCGCTTTAAATGCAGCAAACTGTTTTAAAAGTATTAAAAGTGTCCAAAGAGATAGCCAAAATCTTTACAAGCAATGACCAAGAGACTGTTTACACAGTCTGAAAATTTCCAAATAGTCTTAAACAATAACTTAATGTACTGCAGAATGTTACGTTTACACACTAGCACAAATTGCATATAAAAGCATCAGCCTTTCACAGCATAACACTCACTACTCCGGAGTCCTTTTAAAAGGGCTACTTTTTACGTATACTTTGAGTACTATTTACGACAGATCCTTTTACACTACTTGAACTACATTTTTGGGCAGGTAATGGTACTTTTACTTGAGTATGATCAGTACTCTTTCCACCACTAGTGGTCAGTGTAATCTACAAGTAATGGAAATCTGCTTGCATAATTGAAATTTCAAACATAATACAAAAAAATCTATATGGTTCAATGTACCAACATATTCTTTTGCTTTAGATTGTTTAGAATACGTTGCTTAAAACGTATGATGGATAAATTGGCAGTTCATACCTCTGTGGCGACCACTGATTAATAAAGGGACTAACCTGAAAATGAAAATGAATGAATGAATGTTTATAATACAGTTAAATAAGGATTAGAGTCTTAGTTTTTAATATTACATGTCACGCTTTGAAAGAAATTACCCTAAATATTCTAATTTTTTCGTTATCGGAGCAGCAAGTAACATAAAACCAAATGACTAAACATCATATCAGTGCAGTCCACAACTACAAAATGTTTGTAGCACATAGGCCTACATTTTTAAGTTTGTATGCATAAGCAGAATACATAATTAGCCATTTTAAACACTGCACTTCGGTTGAACCTTCAGTTAATGGTTATTCATTTAATTGTGTGTGAAGAACATTTTAAAAGATGTATTTATTCCTATAAAGAACATTTTGTAAAACGTAATGATTCCATGGATGTAAATTAAAGGGTCTTTATAGAACCACTATCGCCAATAAACCACCTTTATTTTTTAAAGTTGTTTAAAAGTTGAAAAGTTCAAGAATGTAAATCACAATAAAGTGAAACTTAACTATTAAAATGCAATGTTTTTAAAACAAATATTTAAATGGATAACAAATCAAGTAAAAAAGGGTCCAGGTGATCACATCACGCCTTCTCTCGGCAGGTGAGTTTGCAATTACGAGCTCCACATCCCGCCGCGCACATGCTCACACCTGAGAATAGAGCCTACACTTTTCTGTTGCTTTCTTCAGCAGATTTCAAGACATATGCATGCACAAATTGCTGAACGTACCTTCTTCCACGCTGACATTCTAGGTATTCCTTGAGATTGCGGCTACATTGTAATGATGGCAGGGAAGTTTTGAGTGTGTGTGCTGAGCAGTCGCCGCCCCGCGGGTGCAGATGCGGCTCCCCTGATGCTGCTGCTGTAGCTCCCGTTACCGCCGCTGAGTGGCGCTGTTCAGATGCTACGCGCTCAGCAGCCATGATGATAAGGTCGGAAATAAGACAACGCCACAGTATCTTTTACAGTCTATGAACCACACGAGAAGCGGCACAGGGATTTTTCCAGATTCTTGTATTTGTTGTTCAGATGTGGATTTTCGATATATTTTCTTAGATAGCCTACATGTTTAATTGTGGATTTAAAGTAAATATTTTTTTTTCATTTGAAATGCTTTGAGTTCGGATAATTGCCCTCACCTTCCACTGTGCCTGTTTACATCTATTATACATGTTTTTTATTTTTATCATAATGTGTAATTTTATTTAGGCATGGGTAAAGTGTCGTTTTGAACCTAATCCGCGGATATGTCCGTCAGAAAAGAAGGTATGTAGTAAAACTATTTGTAACGTTAACGTGCAACAAAAACAATTGTTCGAGACACGTGCTTTTGTTGACATTAAATGTTTACAGAATAAAGAATAGATAAAATGGTGTTGTTTTTGTTGTTGTTTGAATGGAAGATTGATTGTTAACTTTTGATAGCATTTTTTAGAGATAAGGATATGAATGTACATTTGACAAGATAACGTTTTGTTTTGAGGTAATGTTTTTTTTTCATTAACACAATTGTACTTTCTCCTTCATATTATATTTTCAAAAAAAGTATTCTTTGCTAATTCTAAATAAAGAACTCTTATTAGCAGCCAATGACTATCAAAGTACATTGTTCAGTCAATTAAATATTGCTAATGATGTTTTGAAGTCATACTTGCATGTTATTACTGACCGAATATTCAAAGTAGCATAGTAAACAATATAGGGACCCTCTCACAAGTTGTCACTGAACGAATGTGTGAATATAAAACCAACTATACTTCAATAAGTTTAGTATGATTATTGAAAAATTACTAACCACAAAAGAGCAGTGTTAGACAATAGAACTGAAAATTAATATAATATAAAGTGTTTACATCAGTTTTTACATTGTGCTTGACTATAAATAATCTTCATTAATTTGATGTTAATGTTTGAAAAGGGTTTAATGATAAATGCATGGTTTTCTCCATCAAGAATAGCCTGCTAGTCCATATCAGAATAGATGAATGTGCTTATCCTTACTGAACTAAAAGACTGAGAATCGATCGATTAATGAAAATAAATGTTTTAACTTAGTATTCCAGTCTAAGGTCCTGCAAAGACTGTATGCTGCAGCACAAGGTCCAAGTGTGTTACAACCTGCTGCACAGGAGAGCAGTGCACTTGCACCTGTGCCACCTGTACAAAAATCTCAGTCCATCCCATCCAACACATCAGGTCTGAGTTTTGCTTCATCTCCAAGTTTTTCAAGTTTTAATAGGGGACCTCACTTCTCACTTGATTTTTTTTTCTGTGTCTCCTTTTAGGTAATGTGAAGAGAACAGCTGTGCAGGGTAAAAAGCTCTACACTGTACTTCCTCCTCCTGAAGGCTACTTCATTACTAGCGGGGATAATTCAGTCACAGTGTCCAATCCAGATCCCACTGACTCTGAGGACAACCCAGCTGGTGAGTTGGTGATTCTGATTAATGTCATACTTTTTCCAAGTCTTGTAAGATTTCAGCTTTTTTCAAGCTTTTTTTTTCAAAAGTTTTTGATCTGAAATTGTTTGAGCTTGTTCAATTTCACCCTCTTCCGTCCCACTTTTATCTCATTACTTTTGTAGTAAAAACAATGATGCGGTCAACAACACTCAAACATCCACAAAACTCCACTTACTGAATTAATACCTAAACATTATGGCTGGTTTTTTTTTAATCTGCTGTACAGATAGGGTTTAATCTTCAAAATCTGAAAGCCTAAGTTTGGTTTGAAAGTGAAATAATAAAAAAATGCAACGTTCTCTTGCCATAAATGATTGCAACAAACCAATGGCATTCAACAAAGTTTTGCTGCTATCAGAACAGAAATGAAAGCTCATGTGCTTCGTATTGTTTCCTATTGTGTCCTGTCATGTTCATATGTAAATTGTGCAAGAAAGATTAGAAAAGGCTTATATATGCATCCTCCGATCGATCCTTCTCTCAAAGAAATCAGGAAAGTGGTTGACAGCAGACAAAAGAAATGCATTAAAGGGCACCTATAATGAAAATCATCTTTTGGAAGCTGTTTGGACAAAACTGTGTGTAGGTATAGTGTGTCCACAGTCATACTGAAGTGATATAAAGACAATAAATCTCTTTTTTAAATATCCTGATGTTAAAATACCATCCAAATCCCTCCCATTTTGAGGCCCACCGCAACGTGACATGGTGTGCGGTTTCCCCGCCCACCGAATTGATTGACAGTAGCATATTAACATGTCTCCGTCGTAACGCATAGTATAGCAAAATGCAACTAGGAATAAAAGATCTGTTCAGCTTGCTGTGATTATCAGTCATCATCAAATGTGATCAAGAATGAGTTTACAAGTTCAAAACATTTTTAAAACAGTGCATATTTGTAATAAATACTGAAAGAAAAATAAAACACTATGTAATTCAACACCATAGCCGCATAGTGTCAGTACAATTATAAAAGAACAATCTTCAATCCCGGTTTGTAAACGTTAAATCAGGCTTATTTTGTACATTAACATAACGGATATCCATACAGCATTGGATATTAATGTGTATCCTGTCATATTTGCATGTAAAAACAGTGCAAAGTTTAACGCGTGCACTGTGTGTCCGTGAACTTTGTAGTGACATGTCTGTCACTGTGCTGTTTATCTGACACAGCCGAGGTGAAGATTGAGGCAGACTCTGATAGACACGGCACTAAAGGCACAGGCAACAAAAACAGCTACAGCTACATTGTGTTCAGAGCAGAAAATTCTTATATTCTGAAGGTACAATAAATAATCTGATGGGTGTTTTGAGCTGAAACTTTGCAGACACATTCTGGAGACACAAAAGACTTATCTTAAATCTTGAAAAATGGGTAAAATAGGAGCCCTTTAAAATACGAGTTGAAAATGGAAATGTAAACTCATTGTTCAACAATAAGATATGCATCTTAATAGCAGGTGTAAACGGTTCGTCAAAGGGCCACCATTTAGGAGTGACAACAAAAAATTACAAGTTTTGATCCTGGCAAATCCTATCAGTAATCTTGCCTAATTATTAGACACTACAGACTTTGCAGCTTTTAATTTTCCTGTTTGACATTTATTTTTTATGCTTATTTTTTAAACTTGAGTGATTTTTCTGTTTATCATAATCAAACCACACCTGTTGTGAATCCAAATGATCAAATCATAAGATTTAGTGGAGCATATTATGAAGCCACTATAATATAGGATAACAGTAGGATCACTATTCACAGTGAAAAGACACTTTTTTTTATCTTTTTGTTTATTTATTTATTTTTATTTGTATTTTTATAATTATTTTTGGGGTTTTTTTTACCTTTAATGGACAGGACAGTAGAGAGTAATGACAGGAAAGGATGGTGAGCAGAGAGAGGGGAAGGATCGGCATAAGACCACAAGGCAGGAATCGAACTCGGGTCGCCGTGAGCACCGGAGTGCATGTGTCAACGCATTTTTCTTTTATTTCTACAAACACAAAATTTCATTTATTTAACAAAATCATGCTACTAACAGGAATCAGGCTCTTCATTTGATCATTTGGGACATTGCATTCCTATTTTTCTGCTTTCTTTTTACATTTATAAGAGCTGGAGAAGTAAGTGTTGAAGCAATCATTTAAAATAAATAAATATTGCACTTGTACTGTGTGAAATAAAACGTGAATTTTGCACAGCCTGTTAGTTCAGGTAAGATATCTGTGCTTTAGCTTTGTGTACTTCAGTCTTCTTTCACTAAAAAAACTCCACAGATTTCTTCCTCCTCCTGTCTTTTTGTTGCTATTGATCTCAATAGACCTCAGTAGACCCGCAGAGCAGCAATAACCTCTGTCTCTCACACACACACACACACACACACGCGCAAACACGCTCTCATACTGTCCGTGTTATCAAGCCTTCCCTGATCCCTCCTTTATTGCAAACGGGTCTCATTGTATGAGCTGTATGCTGATGAGCTGAGTCTTTGGTTCCTGCGGTGTGACACTCAGATGTGCGGTCAGTTTCTCTGCTCTGAATACAGATGAATAAAATCAATAGCTCAGCACAACTCAGTGTGTTTGTATAGTTCCGAGGAGCTTGAAAAGCCTGCAGAAAAATACTGAAAGGGCAAAGGGATATGTGTGTATGTGCGTGAGCCATCCACTTTCGTAATTGCGTCTTACAGAGTGTGTCCATATTTCTTGTAAGTTGCTTTTTATTTGAGCTAGTCTACCAAGAGCATAAATGTAAATATAATGAGGCTGTAACTGAAGTCATTCAGCTCTTATAGTGAATTTATATAACTCGGTTCATGAGAAATCAGCCACTTTAAACCTCTTTCTCCAGAGAATAGAGCCTGATGCCTGTCGGATTTAAAACGCTTTTTTGTAATAATTCTAATACTGTGAGAAAATCTGTAATCCTGCATGCCATTAGCCCTTTTTTTATTATTTGGATCTTTCAGATGCTGGTGATCATGAGTTACATAAGAAGAGGAAAAGGAGGAGAAAGAAAAAAGTGTTTCCCAGTGCTACAGCAGAAGTATCCACCCTTCCAGCAGAGGGCGATGTTGAGGGCCAGGAAGATGTTGCACTTCCCCATGATGGAGATGACACTGGAAGCTCATTGAGCACAGAGAGACTGAGCAAGAACAGAAAGAGGAAGATGAAGAAGAAACGCCACAAAGAGAAACTCCTCGCCCTTGGACTGGTGCCTCAGACGAGAGCTGTCGAATTCACATTCGCACAGAAAGATGAGGGGAATTCAGAGGAGGTGCTAGACTTTCTTCAGACAACCTTGGAGATCTACCTCTCTGACCGCAAGTCCTCTGGTAAAAATGTTTAATAAACTTTAAAAAATCCGTTTTTATCTGTTTTATGGAGTCAGTCTTGGGCAGGGGTGGGCAAACTCGGTCCTGGAGGGCCGGTGTCCTGCACAGTTTAGCTCCAACCCCTAATCAAACTCGCCTGCTTAGATTTTTGTGATCTTAAAGACACTGATTAGCACGTTCAGGTGTTTTTGACTAGTGTTGGAACTAGGGATGGGAAGATTAATCGATATGTATCGATACGCGGTCATGCGCGTGCACCATGCGAGTGCATCGGTTGAGCAGCAGAGGATGAATGAAATTTTGGAAGCAAATCGAGATGCATCGGTTTTTGCGAGATGCATCGGTTTTTCCGAGATACAGCTTATTTTTTTAATATAGAATGTATTTTTTATTTATTAACAAGTGTTGTCAACCTGTTTTTGGCGCATAATTTAATCGACCTACATAAAGTAAGCCTTAGCAACGGATTTGCGGATGTGTACACTCACACTACAACTCAGTGTATCAGGTGTGCGGATGAAGCTAGTGGTGCGCCCTCAGAAAGCGCGAGAAGCAAAACAAACATTTTATTCCCCACTGAGTTTTAAATCTAAAGTATGGCAACATTATGGATTTAAGGATGGACGACTTGACAGGACAGATGCAATTTGCAAAATGTGCCGCGCATCTATAAAATACGCGGGCAGTACGAGTAATCTGAAATCTCACTTGAAGCGGCGCCACGGTGTTGTTGTGAAAGCATTGTGAGAAAAGCATTGCAAGTTTTTTTTTTCTATGCGCAAAAGTTTTGTGCGCTCTATGCCAATAACGGATGTTATTGCATTGTTCATCTGCAGGGCCGGAGCAAGCTGAACTTCTGCTCTAGGCAGAGGACGATCACGCCGCCCTCAACCCCAATGTGAAAATGAAAGTGACCGGTTATGAAAATGAAGTGACGTGTCGCGGACCTCTATTCTGCCGCCCTATGCGCGGATATAACTGAGGACGCGCGGGTGTCGCGGACCTTTATTCTGCCGCCCTATGCGCGGATATAACTAAGGACGCGCGGGTGTCGCGGACCTCTATTCTGCCGCCCTATGCGCAGATATAACTGAGGACGCGCGGGTATCGCGGACCTCTATTCTTCCGCCCTATGCGCGGATATAACTGAGGACGCGGGTGTCGTGGACCTCTATTCTTCCGCCCTATGCGCGGATATAACTGAGGACGCGCGGGTGTCGTGGACCTCTAGTCTTCCGCCCTATGCACGGATATAACTGAGGACGCGCGGGTGTCGCGGACCTCTATTCTGCCGCCCTATGCGCGGATATAACTGAGGACGCGCGGGTGTCGCGGACCTCTATTCTGCCGCCCTATGCGCGGATATAACTGAGGACGCGCGGGTGTCGCGGACCTCTATTCTGCCGCCCTATGCGCGGATATAACTGAGGACGCGCGGGTGTCGCGGACCTCTATTCTTCCGCCCTATGCGCAGATATAACTGAGGACGCGCGGGTGTCGTGGACCTCTATTCTTCCGCCCTATGCGCGGATATAACTGAGGACGCGCGGGTGTCGCGGACCTCTATTCTGCCACCCTATGCGCGGATATAACTGGGTGTTGCGGACGCCGCCCTCTCTATACTGCCGCACTAGGCGGTTTTAAACACCTCCTCCTGTTAATTTTTATTTAATTATAATAATAATAATATTAATAATAATAATGATAAAAATAATGGGTGTCACGGTGGCACAGTAGGTAGTTTGACCACCTCACAGCAAGAAGATTGCTGGTTTGTTATATTTTTATTAGCCTGTTGTTTACAGTGACAGTGATGTTTCAACGCAGCATAACACTGCTAGTTCACCACCTTAAGTTTTGAATAATCAGTGGCAAAATATATCTTTGTAAAACTTGTTTTCATAGTTAAAGTTAAATCACAATTCTTGTTGTGCAATGCTCAACCTTTATGTTGAAAGAGTGCAAATATATATATTTTAATATATATTGCACTTATCCATTCTGTTTATCTTGAAAATACTTAAATAATATGTGCTATATGTTCTAAAATGGCCCTCTACTGTAAACTGACACTCTGGCTCTGAGAGAAGAGCCAGTTTGTAAAAAAAAGTCTTGGTGTTGCTTGGTTAATAAATAATCAAACTCATTCAATGGCACAGCATCCTCTTTCACATCATCTCATAAACTTGATTTAATTAGTTAGTGCTGAATTATCGCATCGTATCGTGATATGGGTGTGAATCGTGTCGCATCGCAATATGTCATAAATGTAACGCTAATATATCGGATCGTATTCTTTGTATCGAGATGCGTATCGGATCGGCATTATAGCTTAGATGCCCAACCCTAGTTGGAACAAAACTCTGCAGGGACACCAGCCATCGAGGATCAAGTTTGCCCATCCCTGGTCTAGGACCATATATACTTGCAAAATAAAAGAAAGTTAAGCAAAAAAAAATAAAGTATTGGGCAAAAAAATTATAAATGCAAATCTCAAAACCAATCAAGCATACTATAAACCTTTTTTTCTAGAAAAAATCCTTTCTTTGAAAGGATCGTTTTAATCTACTTTACATGCTTTAAACGTCTTTGAGCTAATAATGCTGTTGATCAGCACCACCTCCTGGACTGATTATTTACAAAATGCAACCTAATAGGAATGAAAAACAACATCTGCGAGTCATTTACATTTTGTGCCATTTAAATAGAGCCTTGTCATCACAAAATTAATCATTTTCTCTTTTTTTCAAAAAAACTGTTTGACACACACATACTGTGCCAATGCTACCGCAGTGATCAGTTGCATCGTGTGTGTGTGTTATGTGTGTGTGTGTGCACATTGAAGACCTGCCGAGTACAGTAAAGCTGAACACTGAAACTATTACAGCGTCTGATCTGACGGCAGACACTGAATTAGGAGAACATTTTTCTATTACCCTTAAACTGCATCTGACGGAAGTATAATGGCTTTGACATCCGTCTTTCAAAATCAAAGTTGTGGATGACACATAAAATGGTATTGTCAACCATTTTCGGATCAAGATTTACCTGTTGTAAATGCTGTAAACAGAACTTCAAAGCATCCTACTGAAAGACGCTGGATGCTATGGCGCCTGAATTTTGTTTCGGTGTCAAGTGATTCTTAAGAAATCATCTTGATATGCTTGTTTGGTTTTGATTCTTGCAGGAATACAAAGTTAAAATATAAAATATTTTTAGCAATGTGTTTTTTTTTATCAATTTAATGAATTTTTGCTGAATCCAATTCTACTGTAGATATCTTTTTAAAAACAAATTCTTACAAACATCACAATCAAGTCATCTTTACTTAAATTCTTACAATATCAATCGTATCAAAGCTGTTAAAAAAGAAAAAAAATTAACAGTATAGTCAAAAATTTGAACAGTAAAATGTAATATAATGTAATAATTTAAATGTACTGTATTTTTCAACTCTTCTTATCAGGCTCCAGTGTAGAAAGTAGCCCCCGTCTCTCGCTTTCTGCAGCAGAGGCTCTATTTTCTCGTCTCTCAGACTCAACGCTGCCCCCTGCTGAGATCTCCAGGCTGTGTGGCCTCAGGGCTTTACTGGTGAAAAATGAAGCACAGTTAAAATCACAGTTGGAACAGTTCAAAGGCACAAGCACTTTACCTGCAGGTAAGTGAGGGCCATATCAGAACATAAAAATACAGTATGTATTTTAATTTTTAATAATGGCTGTAAACACTAGACTATAATTCAGATGAAGGGGTGATATTAGCCACCAATAAGATGGCCTGAAAATACACTACAGTTCAAAGCTTACACATTAAATAGATCAAAAGGAACAGTAAAAACATTTTTTACACAAAAACTTGTAAATACTTAAAAAATAAAAAAAAAATCTTTGTGGTCAGCATGCTTTTTATAAAAAAACCTGATCAAAGATGCTTTGAAAGTTGCAGTAAAGCAAAAATAATTATATAATTCACATAATAGCTGCATAACATTTTTACAAACCTATATAAAGCAGCACAACTGTGTTAATGTATTCATTCAAAAAATGACAAAAATTGTAAAAAAAATAATGTAAATCTTAATTTTTGTGTCATATTTTGTTTTACTTTTTTATTTTTATGTGCAAAACACTTTAACTTCATATTACGTCATAAGCCAATGATAATAATATATCATATTGCTTTTAAATGTTTATTGTTTGCTACTTCTTTTGTGTGTTCTGTATATTGTGCACCAGTTAGTGTACAAGTGTTCAATTCCCCGACCAAAGTCGAGGGCGCAGATATGGTTTTGACATTGGCGGTGACCAAATTTGACACCAACTCCCACCCCCGAAAAAAAGTGTCAATTATAAATGTATAGTGACATCACATTTAAAATGTCAAGTGAAATGAATGTCTGACAAAAAGATTTAAATCTGACAAAAAGTTTAATAAAGACATCCGTTTACTGAGGGCTTATTTGTGCATAATTGCTTACCACCACATCTAAACACATTTTTAATATTGTAATTAAGTATAATATTGCCATTTATGCACTTTAAGCTAAAAATGACTTTACATGTCCGTGTTCTTTTCCTTCTCTGAGTGTGTAAACAGAACGGAATGTTTTATTTTGCAATAAAAAAAAAACACTTAAATAAGTAAATCAACTACAATTAGTAATCGAACAACATTCAGTCAAGCATGTCTTGTGGTGCAAAAGTAAATTGACATGATTTTACTTTGACAAGGAATGAATGCAGACTTCTGGAAAGGGGGAGGCATATGACACAATAATAACCATTTAAGCTAGATTGTTGCTTTTTCATAATCCAAATTCGAAAACAAATTTTTCATTAAATTGCACATCCATGTTTACTATTACAGTAGACTTGTACTGTAGCGAACTTGACTCCAAGTGACTGACACTTTCCTTTGAAATGCAGCTGTTTATGTCCATGTCTCAACTGAGTTTTAAGCCTGACTGGAAAATTTCCACAAAGCATTTTTTTTTTTTTTTGGTGGCGATTAAATTATTGGTGGGGACATTTTAATAATCTGTGGATATTGGTGGGCAAACGTCCCTTCTGTCCATGCTAATTCTACATCCTTGGCCAAAGTATAGTTTAAGAAAAAGCCTGAAAAAGGTCACGATCAGTCAAAAATGACTGAAAAGAAACATAAGTCAGATTTTGCTTTCGAATTATGGTACAACAGAAGCATTAAAAAAGGAAAAAGACAGACTAATGAAACTGGCCTTGACAAAATAAAATTGTATCAACAGTTTTGTCCAGGTCTGTTTATATAAACAAATCAGTGTTTACAATGAATGTGCCCTTACTATTTTTGCTGTGTGTGCTTGTGAAGTCACATTAGACCTTAATACGATTACTTGCTTAATGAGATGTTTTACTGAGGAGCTACAAGCACTCGGCAGATTCAGGACATTCCAAACAGGTGTCCATGGTGATTCTGTCTCCAGGACAACCACGGGACATACCATTTATCCATTTTTTTTTCCCCAAACACCATTATTTCCACCAGTACATGCAGAGGGTCATCGATGATGTTAGTCTTTTATTGCTGCCATGTCCTTTCCATATGACTTCCTTATACCAAATCACTGTGTAAATGCATGAACAAGGGTACATTTCAGTAGCTTTGTATTTTTATTTAGCCATTTTTTAACCAAGTTGATCCTATGATGATTTAAATCTCATTTACAAGAGATATCTAAAACGAATATAAACCAAACAGGAGGTAGCATAACTGCATAAAAACAAAGCAAATATCATGGAAACACATGCCAGCAGGTAACAGCGTGCTCATTTCTTTCTCTTTCTTCCCTTCCAGATGAGGTTTCAGTAGTCTGCTCTCTCGTTGAGTACTGGCTGACAGAAATTCTGCCCATGCAGAGCGAACAGAAGACGTGACGCCTCCAGATTCAGCGTCTAAGAGGAAAACCCCTGTGAACAAGCAGCAGGTCTCTGATTGTAATATCTCATTATGAAAGAGATATTCACCCATGCTGTTTTATAGTGAAGGAATTTAAGAAACGCAAGATCAATCGGCTGCGGCAACAAATTGGCCTCCTTTTGAAAACCCAGACTGATGTATTCTAGTTTATCTTGCCTTTGCATTAGTAATTACTCATGAAAAATATATTTCTGCACATTTTTTGCTTTTCATCGGGCTGGCATACACTTTGAGAGGACGTTTCGAATGTATGTTTGTTGCAAGAACAACGCTAGATTGACCGTGACGCTGGATCATGGGACTTCCACAGCTCATTATGAGGAGTCTGTGCTTTAGCCTCTTAGTGACTAATTATCTTAACCTCGGGACGTCAGCAGGTCCTCGCTGATCTCAGAGACTGTTTGGATCATGACATTTAAGCTTTTGCGCTCTAGACTGCTCATTAACATTATTTTACCGAAACAGAGCCTTGTTTACGTTGTTTTTTTCTCCTTTGAAATGAGATACTTTTGGGGGTTGATGTGAAAAGCCACTGTGGCCATCGGTAAATCTGTCTATAAAGTTTTTAAATGAATTATTCACAAGAGGAAATTAGTTTTTGCTAATTCTTTAAAAACAAGGACTCCAACAGAACAAACATATACACCTGAATATTATACATTAAATTCAGACTTACATTTCAACATATACTGACAGTTATTAGGGTCAAAGTTGAGACGTCCCATTTTGGAGTCCAGATCAAATCAATGTTACAACAGTGGATTTGTATACATAGAAAACATATTAGATGCAATTGTAATGTTTTTAGGCAAGACAAGTTAATTTATGTAGCACATTTCATATACGGTGGTAATTCAAAGGGCTTTACATTAATAGGAACAAAAAAGACAAGTATTAGAAAATTATAAATAATAAAAACATTAAAATGAGTTTTTACAGGTTAAAACACAAGAGGTTCAAGAATGAAAAAAGAAAAGAAAGACATAATAGTGGGATCTGTCTGACGTAGGACAGTGCTCATTCAGTAAAGGCACAGCTAAACAGATGTGTTTTAAGTCTTGGTTTGAATTAGAAATGTTGGAGCACATCTGATCATTTTTGAAAGCTGATTCCAGCAACAGGGGCGTAGTAGCTGAAGGCAGATTCACCCTTGCTTTGACGGAACCCTTGGAATTTCTAATAGATGTGATCCTAAAGATCTGAGTTATCTGTTAGGTTTGTGTTCAGTGAGCATATCTGTAATGTATTGAGGTCCTTGGCCATTTAGTGATTTAGAGACAAGTAATAATACTTTAAAATCTATTCTGAATGTGACTGGGATTCAGCGTTCTGGATGAGCTGCAACTGTCAGACTGGGTTTTTAGGAAGGCCATTGAGGAGTCCATTACAGTAATCCACCCTGCTGCTGATAAAAGCATAAACAAGTTTCTTAAGTCCTCACTGGAAACAAAGTATCTGATTCCTGCAATGTTTTAGAGATAACAGTATGCTGATTTAGTTTCTGCTTTGACATGACTACTGAAGCTCATATCTGACTCTAGAATAACAAGATTCTTGACCTTGTATAAGTTACATGAAAATAAAAAGCTAAAATATGAAATAATGCTCTAAAAATTATATTGAAAAAAACTGATAGTCATCTAACAGTCTGTGGCATCATCAAAAGTCTCCTTGAGTTTTTTATATTTTATATTCAAATATTTAATGATTTCACATTTTCATTTTGTGGTCACATCGTCAGTTGTCATTTATATGTGGATTTGGCCATGTATCCTCATGTTCGTGTGGGTTTCCTCAGGGTGCTCCGGTTTCCCACACAAGTCCAAAAACATGTGGCATATGTGAATTGGGTAAGCTAAATTGTTCGTAGTCTGTGTGTGTAAATGAGTGTGTATAAATGTTTCCCAGTAATGGGTTGCAGCTGGAAGGGCATTTTCTGCGTAAAACATATGCTGGATAAGTTGTAGGTTCATTCCGCTGTGGTGACCCCAGATTAATAAAGGGACTAAGCCGAAAGGAAAATTAATGAATGAATGTTTTGGTCACCTAAAAAGTTCATTCATTCATTTTCTTTCAGCTCAGTCCCTTTGTTCATCAGAGTTCGTCACAGTGGAATGAACCATCAACTTATCCATATGTTTTACGCATGCCCTTCCAGCTGCAACCCATTACTGGAAAACCCCCATACACTCTCACATTCACACACATACACTACGGTCAATTTAATTTATTCAATTCACATATACAGCATGTCTTCGGGAAAAACCACACAAACAAGGGGAGAACATGCAAACCTCACACAGAAATGTCAATTGGCCCAGCCGAGACTCGAAAAGCTACCTTCTTGTTGTGAGTGCTAACAACTGAGCCACCGTATCGCACACCTAAAAAGTTGAAATACCAAACATATATTCAAAACATTTTATTACCAAAGTTCTATCCATGTAAAATCCTCATTCAGAGGAATATAGACCATTTTGAGAGAAGTAAAGAATAACAATGGTCCCAACGTATTTCCTGTTTCACATTTTACATTTTCATAGCTTTCAAGAGTCCAAAAAGGTCCACATTTTGATAAATAATGGAATGACGACTGTTTTAATGATAAGTTGATTGAATTGCCTCTTGTTACAGTTTTGAAATAGTTTTACAATAAACAGCAAATGTTCATGGTCCAATGACATCCCCACATTGAAATGGTCTATACCTGTGTCATTCAGCATAAAAAATATAAAACAATTATTCTGACTTAATGAATTATTTAAAAAAAATAAAGTGATAATATATTATACTAATTGTTTCATAAAGATTATTTTCACTTGCTTACAAAAATATAATGCAGGCAAATGTTTAATACCTAGTAGTTAGAAAGATAGGAGAAAAGTAGATTATAAATACCAAAATCAAACAAAAAGTGCTCAAAGGGTAGCTTAATTAATATGTTAGTGCTATTTGGGTAAGGGATTCATTAGAATAAACAGCAAAAGTAAGTCCAAGGCAGTCAAAAAATGTAGGAAAAAATATAAAAATGCCTTTTACTGACAAGGCTATTCCTTAAAACTGCGCATTTCAGCGAACACTTGCTTTCATCATGATAACAGAGATCGTGTGCATCTGGAGTTTCTTTTGAACACTATGGTCTCATGACTCATTAGAATATCCAAACAATACCAAAACCATATGTTGAACACAAGGTCAACTCAACAATCATTAATAATTCAGCATTGAGAGAAAAAGAATTAATAATGAAAATAAAATAAAGAATAAAACGTATAAAAAAATAAAGGTATTTATTTATGTTACACAACATAACTCTCAAATAATACAAAGTGGATGTATATAGAATGAAACCACAACAAAATGTATAGATAATCAAATAAACTAGTATAGTGTACAAATATGTATTTTTCGAGCGCCTCCGACTTACTTTTGCTGTGGAACATAAATACTTTGTACATTTTGAGGTTGCACTTTGGCCTTTGTATGCATTTAATGTCATCAAATGACTCCTGTCCCAAATATTCTGTATATTGCAATTGTGTAAAAACACTTTTCATCTTTGGACAATATATAAATTCTCATGTTTACAGCACATACATTCATTGTATATTAATAACTGGTATTCATAGCATTTCAAATTTTAATTTTAGTTGGCACCAATGAATTCTGATACACACTTTTATTTGCCCGAGGTTTTCCAAAACTACAATTAAAAGTGTGTAAAGATAGTTTTTTTTCTAAGATAAAAACAAATGTGTCCTTGTTTTTTTGTGACTTTGATGCGTACGTGCATCAAGGGCAATGCACTACATGCTAGATACATTTAAATGGATCCGATGGCTTACCCATGACGTCAAGGAAGGATGACTTTAGCTGTGCAAACATCACTAGACTGTCCATGTCTGTTCTGCTAATCTGAAATACACCAGGGAACCCACAACATAGGCTTGTATCCCATTATAGGATCTAGACATAGCATACGTTTTTTTCATGCATCCCATTCGCTTACAGCATTCAGAAATAAGGACCCTGCTGTTTCTCTCAGAAATGTTTCCTTACACCTGCTGGAATATGGAGCGGAAGACACAGCAGGTGTGATCGTGAAATTATGGCATCTGAAATGAGCAGAATAAAATAGCTAATTATCTTGTTTCAGCAATAAACGTGGCATATCATCATACTAAAGGCTCACTGCATCTTTAATATCACAGTTTAATGGTTTGTGATTTATGGATTCAAATTTGAAAGGCAATCCTGCAGATTTATGCCACTCATAAGTGCTAGAAACTCTATTTAAGTTAATCATACTAAATGATCTGCCTCTGATTTGTCAATTTCCAATGAGGACCTGATCTCACAGTCTCTATACTGCTCTGCTACATTTTTTATATAACTTAAAATGTTATAGAATATTATTTAAATATTACAGAAGATCTCAAAAAATCTTTAAAAAAAATTGATAGATAAACTACCTGACAAAAGTATTGTTGCCACTCCAAGTTTTAGGAACAACAAATAATAGCTTGACTTCTAGTTGATCATTTGGTTACAGAAGTGGCTTATAGAAAAGGCAAAGGCCTCTAGATTATAAATAATAAATTATGGTCATGCCTTGATTTTTAATTATTTCATTAGGACAGTAAGGTCTGACTTTGCTTACACAAAAGTCTTGTCACTTAACAGAAATAATGTACAGTATAGAACAGGGGTCGCCAATCTCGTTCATGGAGGTCTGATGCCCTTGCCTCAACAGACCTGCCTGGGTGTTTCAAGTATACCTAGTAAGACCTTGATTAGCTCGTTCAGGTGTGTTTGATTAGGGTTGGAGCTAAAATCTGCAGGACACCGGACCTCCAGGAACACGTTTGGTGATCCCTGGTATAGAAAATAAAGTCATGGTGCAGTGGAAAAAGAATGAATAACTGACTCAAATAGCTTATTAATAAATCTCATTAACTTATTAATAAAACTTAAATCTTATTAATAGATTAAAACTTATTAGTTCATCTGGAATGGCAAAGAAATCGTTCTTGCAGGACTCCCAGAGTTCATTAAGATTCTTTGGATTCATCTTCCTCCTTCATCTTACCCCAAACATGCACAATAATGTTTATGCCTGGACATTGGGCTGGCCAATCCTGGAGCAACTTGACCTTCTTTGCTTTCAGTAGCTTTGATGTGGAGGCTGAGGTGTAAGCTTGTACTATTCTGCTGAAGAATTTGCCCTCTCCTGTGGTTTGTAATGAAATGGATAACACAAATGTCTTGATCCCTCAGGCTGTTGATGATGCCATCAACTCTGCAGATCTCTCGCACACCCCATACTGAATGCAACCCCAAAACATTTTTTTTTCTTCACCAAACTTGACTGATTTATGTGAGAATAGATGGATGGTTGGATGGATCTCAACTTTTGAGAAGCTTAAACTTAAAATTTTTACTCAGAGAAGTCAGAGAAAGTCAGTTAGCATGTTTCTAGCATGATTAATATTCATGATTAATATTAACATTTGCAATATATAACAATTCTTATTCAAATTATTGAATCTGATTGGGTAAAAGCAATCTTCTATATCAATCTTCTGCAATATTCATATCATCACTGAGCGTCTTCTCACTCGCACATCACTTCACACACAGCGACTACAAAGCAGAATGACTAAACTCACTAGTCTTAGATCACACTAAACATTTTTCAACTTTAAGATAAGAATGTAGTTGTTTAAATGTCAAATGTGCAGTTTATATTTATAAGGATATTGCCTGTTTGAAAGTGTTTTTTGAGTGATTTTGGAGATGAAACTTCCGGCAAATCATCGGTTTTTCAGTGTTCTCATTGCCCAAAAAAACAGTAAAATGGCCATTTTTACATAATGTCCAAGTCCAGTTTTTGACTGTCATAGAGACTGCCATAGAGACATCTGGGTTGATTTATATCACTCACATTGGCAAGAAGCTTTGATGTATCATCACTAAGCTGTCAATTGTCCCCATAGCAGGTAGGGTAAGGGGTGGGAATAGGTGAGCCCATTCGAAAGCATTGCATGCAGCTCAGACTGCATCTGCACCGAGTCTGCAGCCAAAACCCTCTCAACCTAGCAATCATTTAAAAACAGCAATATCTCTACATCAGAACATAGTATGGATCTGGGTATTGGCTCGTTTGACTCATGCTAGCAAATGGGATTTATGGGACTTTGTGTGTACTATGCAAGGTAACAATGATAAGCCAAGTACTAGTAACGATTAGCTACATGCTATTAATGATTATCTAAGTGAAATAACATATGCTAGAAATACCTACTATATAGGCAATAGTATTAGCATTTGATCAAACATGTACACAAGCGTTGTTATTTAAAATTACTGTGCTTCCTGCCAACTGCCATTCCCAGTCCTAGCAAAGTCACGTTGACTTTCTTAAGCCAACATCAAAGTTCGTCAATGAACTTTAGGTTGTAGTTAGTTTTAGTATGCACCTTTTGGATGAGACATTAAACTAAAGTCCTGACTCTCTGTTAAAAACCCCATCACACTTCTCTTAAAGAGTAGGGTTGTAACCCAAGTGTCCTGGCCAAATTCCTTCTCTCAGCCATCCTTGTCCATCATGGCCCTCAAATCATCCCCATCCACTGAATTGGCTCTATCTCTCCCATCACATCCTCCAAGTGGATACTGCACACTGGTGGCGATAAGGAGAGACCCCCTACAAGTGTGAAGCGCTTTGGATGTATGGTCATTACATTACATTAGCATTTTGAAATAGGGTTTCTAATAGATTTACACATTTCTCACATGAATTAACATTTGAAGTATGTTTTGTATACTGTTAGTGTGCTTTAGCATGGTTAGCTTATTGTTAGCATTGAAATAAATTAACATGAAGCGTGCACAAATTAGGAAAAACTAGTTTCTAACACGGTTACCATCATTTTAACATTAAATAACATGCAGTTAGCATACAGTTAACATAAATTAGCTGTGTTTACAATATAACTGGTAAGCATTATCATCTTGAATAAGCATGTTTTGCATATGACCCCTCAGAAAAGTTGTTGCCTCAGTCCATTATCAACATAAGGTTACCTACAGTAATTACCATCTAATTTGATCATTTATTTTCTTGTTTTATTTACTTTTTGTGTACAGTCTATTGTGACTTTTGGTTTGTTTTGTTTAATGTTTCTTGTTGATGCTTTGGTTTTAGTTCAGATAACTGGGTCGCATCTGATCTGTGCTACTTGACTTCACAGTCATTTCCGGCTTTACACATGTCGAGCTATAGCAGAATGTTGTCCTTCACAACAACTTAACCTCGCAGCCCTTGCTGTCTCCCCTGTCGTCATAGCTAGCATGTCCATGTGCGTGCTAGCCTCTTTTGGTAATCTCATTGAAAAGGAGACAGACAGACAGATGGGGACTGTCTATATAAGCACAGATCAGAGGAAGACGGTCACAGATCCACTTCTACCCGAGTGAGCTAAAGCATCTTTCTATCAGAAAGGAAAGAAACAAGGAACCATAGGAATAGGTGCTGCCAACAAACAAACATCTGAGGCCTTGACAAACTTGATATGATTTTTGGTTTCCCACGTCCTACTGCAGGATACATTCGTTACTTGCAGGTGAGTGAGAGAGTCTGTACAGATGTGCAGGTTATAAAATTGAAAATACAGGTTACACTTTATGATAAAATTCTATTAAGTACATTTGTTAACTTGAACTAACAGAAAACACATCTAATACATTTTGCTAGTGTTTACTGTAACATTTAGTTATACATTATTAAATTTAAAAGTTGTATCTTAACATTTAATGGACTAAAGCTAAAGTTTTTTATTAAGTGAAATTAGTTAAGATTAATAAATAATGTAATAAACGTATTACTTTTTGTTAACTAATGGGACTTTAGTGTAAGTCTGAACATATTCATATGTTTATAATTGTTCATATGTGAAATATGTGTAGCTATACCTGAATTAGAGCAGTACTTTAGTGCTAAACACATGAAGCTGATTAGATATTGAAGTAATACTGAATACTTGTTTTTCCAACATTCCATACGGTCCAATTTCAGTCATTATTATAACAGATTAAGCCTTTAATTAGCCATTATTACATGAGAGTATTGTTTGATGCAATTACAACCCATTTTAAGCAGTTAAAGAATTATCACGATTTACTTTAGTGCGTTCAGTAATTGTTTTCAATATTTACTAACATTAACTAATGAAGGTGCTCCTACTTATACATGACTTAAAAGTTGATGTCTGTCATCATTCAAACTAACCATGATTTTTGACTCTCTTCCAGACGTCAGCCGTACAAACAGTGACCAGCAAGTTCCAGGATCTCATATTGCCCCGGGTGGCTGTTGTTTTGGGTGCTTTGGGTATTGCGATGTCTGGCTACAGCTCTCGCCAACTCACTTTTCACCACCGACCATCCACCCGCATCCTGCAATGGATGTCCAGACCTGCCATGAATGCCGATAGTCCTGGATCCCCATCAGCTAAAGCCCGTCTGGCTCCGGCCAATGCTGGCATGGCATCCATTAAAAATGACCAACAAGAAGAACCAATCAAAAACATCAGTGACACCCAGCAGCCTGTGAAGACATAAGCTGGCATATGAATAAGAAGAGACTTGTGAGGTCTTACTATGTAAGATGGAGCATAGTCAACCATCTAGTCAAAAGTGATTTGGACAGTGCCTTTGTGAAAGAAAGCGGGTTTGCCCTGAGTAGTTTGTGTTTTTTTGATCAAATTTGTAACAATGGTTCAGGAGATGTGACTAATTGTTCATTATCTGATGAGTCATTTACTGAATTGGCATCCTTGTAAAATTGCATTTTATTTAAATGTGTGTAATTTCACCGAGGAGTATTGTATGATGATGTCATGCAACATTGTAAACTTCACTTCATTTTAATATGCTGAATCAAGGCCACACACCAGGCATGATTTGCACATCTGTGAATGACAAGTTTATTTACAGTCACAATAACACCCACTATGACAGGCATGTTCCCTAAGCTAAATCACTTCCTGCGGATTAGTTCAGTGAATATATTTATTAAAGCTTGTTAATGAGGTGTAAACATACAGGTAGACTTTGAGTGAGTCAGAAGCTGCTTAAACTGATTGATTCTCAGCTCGTCTAGAGAGAATATGGCATTATTAAACAGTACTGTATGCACACAGAATGCAACTAAATGTAGACATTTCAATGTTCTTATACATTTTGTATTATTTATAATCTTTTTAAATACTTATTTTAGTGGTTTTTATATTGCTGCTGCAGTTTTCTAGAGCCCTGATCCTATAAGATGTGCATTTAGAAGTGTATGCATTTACCTTTTATGCGAATAAAAAACAAAATTCAATTATTCTTTTTCTTTTTTATTTCAAAGCCATAGATTATTATGATACTCTGTTGAAAAAAAAAGTTTCATTTGTTTCTTCTATTGCAGTAAAACAGAACCATTTTTAGTTCTCAAAATTGTTCTACTGGGGTGAACATTGTAATATTCTAAATAACTATTTTACACTAAAAACTTTTAAATAAAAGGTTCATAATGATGATAAAGGTTTTTAATGGAACCTTAGAAATTATTTGTGTATAGTTTAGGGTGTATATTTTTATTGTGATAAAATCAATTCAGCTTATTGGCTTTCAGCCTTTTACAGTAGGTCAGATTCAGATAAACAACATAATCTTAAAAGTCTTTCGCAGTGCTTAAGGTAAGCCTTAAGGATCAAGGCCAGCATCAGGTCAGATGTTAAAGACCAAATCACACCTGTCTGAGTTATTATAATAAACGCTAATGATGATGAGACTAATGAAGAGAAAATTCACTTTATAGCAAACTCACACGTGACACCGTTGGAAAGTAACTCGATGACTGCAACACAGACTGGTAACGTTATTCAAAAGCCGAGTGTTCATGAAGCTTTAGATCCAGTTTATGCTGTTTCCAGCAGTAGACTACGACTCAGACCTCATGAGGGGGCAAAAGGACAGTTTTTTAACCGAACTTCATATACTGTACCCACATCCTGGAGTCGGATCGTGGTCTACTCTGCTCCGCGTCCCGTGAAGAGGTGCGACACCACCAGCGACAACATGTAAAACTTTCCAGCTTGTCTTTTCCGCCGAACACGAGACTTTAAATAAGGTAGGTAAACAACAAACACTATTATTGTTGTTTTATGTTTTTTTTAGTCATTTATGTACAATTCTTTACCATATTGTGTCCGTAATCTGCTATTTACTTTAGTACTTTGGATTAAAGTTGCTAGTTCATTAAATTAAAAAGCATTAGAATATTAAAACGGTAGAAGTAACAATAACGTTTAGCGTTAAATGAGAGCGCATGCACGCAAAATGTAACCGGTAATGTATTTGACTACATAGCCAAAGTGATTCGTCTACCAAAAACACTTAGCCGATCATTAACATTTTTAATAGCAGTAGGCTAATATTAGAAATTAATATTAATATTAGGAATTTGTACTAAGTTCGCCATATTTGTTAACAACGTTTTACTATTATTACTATTTTTAAAATAGTGATCACAAATATATGACCATGTTTTGAGCCACGCTCTGGCTACACTGTCATCAGACTGGATGGCTATAAAAAGTTACTGTGCAAACAATACAATTTACTCTACCTGTTGAACATACAATGATGTAAGGTGCTTGTGTGCTTTTCATCAGAAACCAGCCAAATGGTGCCATTTATCAGTAGACCTGATATTATTTTGACCAAATAAAATGAAAAAGTAATGATTGTCAGTAAATTCTATTGATTGTAGTATTTCTTACATTCTTTATCATTATTTTTAATTAACAAAATGTATTACAACACTCCCTTGCCTCCTTAATTTATTTATTCCTTATAATCTCACAGCAGTGTAAGTTTAACACAGTGTCTGCATGTGCGTTTGCATTTTCATGCAAATTTGTCCACAAGCCACATTCAAATTGCCCTACCAGAGTATATCAGAGACCTAAAAGAATGAGCATGAGTGGAGATATACACAAACTCACTGTGTATTATGTATATATCAAGAGTAGATAAAGATTGTGATGTGTAGCATGTGTGGAATTAAATTGTGTATGAATACATTTTTTTATTATCCACTAGACTGAAGCAAGCTGTTGGTAATATGGGGAATAATTCTGGAAAAGAGCGACATGGATCTTCAGGTAACTAGCTTTTGACAACAAATATACACACACAGATGCACATACTTGTTGTTTTATTGACATGACCCAGAGATCTGAGAAATCATAAAAACTGAGATTTTTTTTAACATTTAAATAAATTAAGGAATAAATAGTGCTGAGTGAAGTATATTTTTTCCAGTCACAGGAATATTGAAAAAGATGGAACTGCAGGACAGTTATTAAATATATTAGAGCGAGCGAGAGAGAGAGAGGAGAGAGATTATTGGCATACAGTATTGTGCTCTCTTCTGTGTTATTGGTGGTGTCCAGATCTCTCAGACTCACTGACTCAGCAAACCTTTCCCACCCAGGGAGACTTCTTAATGAAGAACACCCACACACTCACACACATCCAATCAAATCCGCTCTTCTTGGATTGGATTCAGAAAAAGCTAACTCTGAATCTGGACTTTTTTTGACAGCAAATTAGATAAATTTATTTTAAAAAGTCAAATCAGATCTGGAGCGTAAAATAAATACTTCAGAATAATATGGTGATTCCTCTAATAACAATAATAGTGGTAGTAATAATAATAATAATAATAATACAGTAATATCAAGCTGTGTAAAATGTAAAAACATAATTGGTGTTTCATAAATTTTATCTAATGATTTAGTCACAATGTTCCAACTATTTAAAGCTCTTATATAGTGAATAACAGACAACAATGTAAGCTGATATTTTCCAAAAGCTGCTAATCCAAAAAAAACATTTATAAACAGCACAAACACAATAAGTTGCCATCCACAGACTTTAAATATAAATGTAGTTTTCCCAGTTTTTCTTATTATGTTTTATATATCGATTAATGTGTAAAACAAAGTATACGGTTAGGATGCACAATATTTAAAAAATTGTTTTATTCTAGGATATATATTGCGATAATAACACAATTCCACCACGATAAATTTAATAACTATTTGGAAGGAATTTCGAATTTTAGATTGGTTGTGATGATTAAGGGAGTGAATTAACTATAATAAACAATCTACAAGCATAGATAAATTCAATAATGAAAAAGATACAGGGCGAGGCAGTGGCGCAGTAGGTAGTGCTGTTACCCCACAGCAAGAAGGTCGCTGGTTCGAACCTCGGCTCAGCTGGCATTTCTGTGTGGAGTTTGCATGTTCTCCCTGCCTTCGTGTGGGTTTCCTCCGGGTGCTCCGGTTTCCCCCACAGTCCAAAGACATGCGGTACAGGTCCGTAGTGTGTGAATGTGTATGTGGATGTATCCCAGAGATGGGTTGCGGCTGGAAGGGCATTCACTGTGGCGACCCTGAATTAATAAAGGGACTAAGCCGACAAGAAAATCAATGAATGAAAAAGATACTAATCAAATTGACAGTCTTTGGTTGTTTTCCAGGGAATCAAACAGAATTCAATTATACATTAATTCATTCATTTTCTTATCATCTTAATCCCTTTATTGATCTGGGGCTGTGAACCGCCAACTTGTCCAGATGTCCTTCCTGCTGCAACCCATCACTGGGAAACATTCATACACACTCATTCACACACATACACTACGGACAATTTCGAACACGGGGAGAACAGGCAAACTTCACACAGAAATATTATCTGACTCAGCCAAGGCTCGAACCAGCAACCTTCTGCTGTACGGCGAATGTGCTACCCACTGTGCCATTGTGCAGCCTCAGTTATACAGTAATTGAATAATCAAATGTAAAATAATACTTCATTTTATATATAATTCAATAAAATTAATTAAAAATTTTACAATTTGTTATGCCTGAACAATAAACTTCTGCCCGAGGCTTAAAAAAACACATAAATTAAAAAGGATAAATTATTATCCAGACTCATATTGCATATACTCGCGATGCGACTATTTCGAATGATTACATTGCTATATCGATGCTGAAATGATATATTCTACCCTAGTCTACGATGAACATACAGTCATTCAACAACACCTAAATTGTAATGTGTGATACCTAGAGTGTAATGTAAAACTGATTCTAGTTTTTATTTATTATGTACAAACACATACATTTTTAAAATGTTTTGTTACTGTTTTCAAATGATGAAAATAGTCATGAAAAGATACTTCCCTGAAAAGCAAGAAGCAAATATGATTTAGAAAGTAATCTTGATAATAGCGTCATCTATCTAGATAAAGTGTTTTAAAAGATTTAGCATTCAGTTCATTTAATAGTCACATCATTCTGTACCCAGGCGATGTCTTCTTGTCCCCTGAAACCATGAATATTAACCACTTTCTGTACATCCCATGAATAACCGAAATAAAGTTTCATTTCTGTGACAGACTAATCCATGCACAAAGTTATAATGTCAGGAAATGTTTTATTCAGAGAAGCATCTGTCTAAGAGCTCTATGTCTGTCTTTCTGCAGGCGCTGCTGTGGACACCTATGAAACACCTCCCACTTCACCATATAGTGTTGTTTCTACCTGGTCACCAAAAACTCAGCTGGTGTCCATTTCCAACTGCACAAACACAGGCACCCCTGAAACCTCCCAGGATACACTCAGTCCACCTCTCGAATCCAGCGTTCAGAATGAGCCAATATTGGTCTGTAAAACAGGTCCTGGAAAAGAGGAGGAGGGACTGAATATGACACAGGGACTTGAGAATGTGTCTTATGTCTCAGGTGTGTGTTTAAATGGAAACACAGAAGTGGATGCAAAACTTCTGCAAGAGTGCTTGAACACACTGCAGCTCAGCAACATTGAAGAATCCACACACATACTAAATGGTGAGAGGAAATGTTGTGGCGTGTCTTTCTTATTCATTCTTTAAACTTATTCATTCCTTAAATTCAGGACTAGGCACATATTTGCACAAACTGTGCACATTCTCATTGTTTTTAGAGAGCGATGCAGACATAATCGCTTTCACGGTTTAATTATTATAAACTGAGATTAAAATTGAGATTAAAACTGAGATTAAAATTGAATTTCAGTGTCAGTCCTAAACTCTAAACCTCAGACACATATGTTGTAAATACTTACATGTTGATTACAAAGTGTTATGTCAAACATTTATGTCATTTATGTCTTTTATCATACTGTTGCTGTGTCTTTTTACTAAGCCTTTTGAGGTTATGCATTTCAATGGTTTTATCACTGTGGTAAATTAAAAGTAACACACTTTACATATTGAGTTTTTTCCTATTTTGGCTGCTATTTTGGTAAAAATCTGCAGATTTCTGCTGAATTATTTTGGGAGTATCATAACTAAAACCCTAATATGTGAAATAAAAAGTAATACATTTTTAACGTCTATTTAATGTTTAAATTCCAAATCTAATCAGATTCACTTTATTTGGTAAACAAAGCAAGTCTCTTATATAATATCTCTACTAAAAGACAGAAAATATTGCTTTACAAACTGCATTGTACATAAATTATATGAACATTTTCACATTAGTCAATAATATTACTGTAATTAATTAAAAAATTAAATAAATTTAGATTTACACACATTTACCCAAGTAAATAAACAGAATTAACGATGGGGTAAAAATCTGCAGAACTCTGCGGAAAATCTGCGGAGTTTTGCGCGTGCAGATTCCGTGTGGGCCTAGTAACTACTTTATTATCTACATAACAAATACTACCATTGAATATGTTAACATGCATGTTCTAAACCTGATTATTCCATTTAGCCTAAAATCCAAGTGGTCATCAACACATTTACCTGTTTTGCTTTAGAGTAAGACCAAAAACAGCTTAAACATAAACCAATCATCACAGCTAGATTTTGCCCCATTATGATGATTTTGACAACCATGTAAATGCGTTTACCTGCTTTTTCATGTGATATGACATTGACATGTGCTTAACACGTGTGGATGTAAGTACTTCCAGACAGAGCAAACACTTAGTAGTTAGGGAGGAGGAATTATACCACAAATTCAGATGCTTTCTTGACCCAAAGAATTATAAAAATGTGTTTTCTTCTTGTGTAGCACAAGTAGAAGAACTTCAAATACTTGCATCTTGAAAGAATCATACTGTATAAGAGCAGTCATTTTCCCACTGACATGCTGCAATACTCTTCTTATTCATTATGACAACTGACATAACAAATTAAGTACTTGGAGTTAGATGGACAATTTATTACACTCTAATGTCACTACTCATTAATAACTTGCATTGTCAGGTTATGGTTTGCATGTACACCAGAACAACAGGTTATTTCAATAAGTTGATTTTTGTGCATTATCAACGTATTGGTGTTAATGTAAACATGCTTATTGTTTAGAATGTGATCAGCAGTGAGAATCACATTTCTGTATGTTTTTCAGATCTATTACATTGTTTTCTGGTGGAGAGAGAGAAGATGAAGGAGGAACTGAGAAGTTGTAAGGAGAAGATTCAGGTAAATTAAACGTTTGTTGACACATTCCGTTTCACCTTCTTTAATCCATGACAGTCATTGTGTATGGAGCCAGATCATTCTCAAAGATAATGCATTTACAAAATAAAATGCATACATCCACAACACAATTCAAAAATACACAAATCTAATTCATGAATTCAAAACACAATTCACAAATCCAATTTAATAATTCAGAGCGTGATTCATGAATACACAAATCCAATTCATAAATTGTCAATGTAATTTATAAATGCAAAAATCCAATTCAGAAATTCAGAACACAATTCATAAATACACAAATCCAATGTATTAATTCAGAACCTGATTCATAAATACACAAATCCAATTCATAAATTGTAAATGTAATTCATAAATTCACAAATTAAATTCTTTAATTCAAAACATGATTCAAAAATGGACAAATCCAATTCGTAAATTGAAAACGTGATTCATAAATACACAAATCCAATTCAGAAATTCAAAACACAATTCATAAATACTGTTACAACCTCTTTGATGTCAGTCTAGGGTAAAAGTAATAACATTTAAAAGGTGTGGTACTTTTACAAGATGATGGGTGAAAGTAAAAGACACAAACAACAAAACTGCCAACAAAAGTGATTTAATGTAAAAAGAAAGTGAAATCAGAATAATGCCCAAATATATATACAATAAGAAAAAATATTTACAACAATAAAGTAACAAATTAAACAAAGTATCAAACAAAATTAGTTAACTCAAGAGTAAGGGGACGCTAGTGAAGCCAAATCAAAGAAATAAATATAACAAAACATTTTTAACTCATAAGCAAACCCCTTACCTCGCTAGAAACATGAAAAGAAAAAGGAAAGAAAAATCTTCAGCGCCGAGCACCGTAATCTTACCTATTCTGAACTAAAAACAAAGCAAATACATAAGTGGCATTCACTTTCTTACCTGGTGTTTTAAACAATGGATTGACTACGTGTATGTAAGATGGAAGTCGTACGACATCTTCCCTGTCCGCCTTACTCTGAGGACAAAGTCAACTCTCAATGATCTTTTTTTGGTTTGTCAGGTAAGAGTTGTACCAAAAGTAACAAACAAACAATCAAATATATTTGTTCAGAAATCAAAGTCATTCAAAAATGGGCAGAAAATATACTAAATAATTTTATCCAAACGAAAGTTAAGCAAAATTAACGAATAACAAAATCATGTCGGCAAAAATACACAAAAACGGGATCAAAGGAAAAGCGCGCTGTCATCCGCTCTCCCTGGCGTCCTTATATGTGACAGCGCCACGTCACCCAATGATGAGTGACTGGTCTCCTGACCAATCGGCTTCCGCGAAGGCGGACCTAGAGGATATGACAGGTAGAGATGGGGAGAGAGAAAGAGAGAAAAAAAAGAGAGAGAATGGGACGCAAAAATTCTACCAATATACGGCAACCGTTACAATACAGAAATTCAATTCAGTAATTCAAACGCAATTAATAAATACACAAATGCGTGGTGGCCCCACGGCGTTGGAACTCTCTCCCTATAACACTGAGATCTCTGGGATCAGTTGAACTTTTAAAAAGCATTTAAAGACACATCTTTATGGTCAAGCTCTTAATTAACAGTATTAGTGTTTCTGTATTTGGATTCTTAACTTGTTTTAATATGTTTTCAAATGTTTCTTTTATTGTTATGTGTTCTTTTACTTGTTTTCTCTTTTTGTAAAGCATTTTGTGACGCAATGTCTGGGAAAGGTGCTATATAAATAATCCTTTACTTACTTACCTACAAATCAAATTTATTAATTTAAAACAAGATTTAAAAATACACAAATCCTGTTCATTTGGCAAAAATATTTATGATTTTTACTTCAGAATTCATAAATTGTGTTGTATTTATGAATTGTGTTTTGAACTTACAAATTGGATTTTGTAAATGTGAACTGTGTTGTGGATGTATACGTTTTATTTTGGAAATGTATTATTTTTGAGACTGATTTGACTCCATAAGTGTGTGCTTGACACTTCAGTGTCCAAAATTCCCTCTTTTGAAGAAATGCAACAGGAAGTCACATTGTTCCCAGAGGTGCAGGTCAGGGAGAGTCTGATAACAGCCTGTCAGCTTCAGAAGAGGCTTCTGGGACATGCAATCCTACAAATCACTCCCTTCCTGTCTTAGCTGAGGAATGGACATTGTTTTGTGTGTGTCTGTGTGTTTGTGTTGTGGTTCTGCTAAAATCTTCTTTTAGAGAATCAGATAAAAAATATCTATTTTTGAGAGGAAGGAGGGGAAGGGAGGGAAGAACAGAGAAAGTGGGATTCCAGTTGTGCATTTCTCTTACACTTGCACAGAGAGAGAAGGTTTATTCAAGTTAGTTACAGCAACATTTAAAGAACAGAACAGTGCTCACAAAGCAGCTATAGAAGGTGTCAGGCCTGAATAAGTAGGAGTGTTTGAGACACAGATGGAAACAGGGAGTGAACGGAGATACTGAGGGGGATGTGGGGAATTCAGTTCAGCTCTTGCAAGAACAAAACTTTTTTGTTTGCCTGCTGTGACAGTAGAAGTCAGCATGTAACGAATCACTGACCAAACAACAGAGTGAGTGTGTGTTTCTTCCTGTGAGTGCACATATCTCTGTATAATGCAACTCTACCGCTAAGTGCACTTACATGCACTTCAGTGGACGAAAGGAATGATTGGTGTTTTTAAAGAAACCAAAACCAAATGAATAATTTTTGTTTTTTTCTTGACTGGTGCAGTGTAAGTCATACATGAGCAATATCACACGAGTAGCAGTGCGATTTGACAGTATATCCGATATACACCCTTATTGCACTGTTACGAGTGTGATGTTGTGTTTATACAACAGTTCGACAGCATAATCGTGTATATCAGTGGTTCTCAAACTGTGGTACGCGTACCACTAGTTGTACAAGGGCTTACTTCTAGTGGTACGCAGGGGAATCACTGAGTCATGGAAAAAAAATTTATACAATTTTAATCACTTGATGTGTAAGATAATTAATGTGGTCAGCATTGACTGTTCTCTAAAGCCTACGATTAAAGGGATGTGCTTAGTATGTTTACTTTAGTGCATCCTGTCATCAGCTGCTAAAAATCAATCCAATTGGTGCAGAACTAGAGAAAGAGGTGCATGGTGCTTGCAGAGCAGATACGCACTAGAGCAGTGGTCCCCAACCCTCAGGCCACAGAGCGGCATCGGCATCTGATCAGCTTCATATTTTGTATGGAATATAATTTACTTAGACTTATTATCTCAGACAAACACAAAACACCTAAACACTGCAGTGCTTTTTAACTTTCTCCAAAATAAAACTTTTATCAGGGTGCAGTAATGTTTTGTAAGCTTGACATCCTCTGAGAAAAACAGGTTCCCTACCAATCTACATATAAGTTAATGTTTAGATTAAAAAGGTTTTACAAATATGTCATATGTAGATGGATTATATATTTGAAAATGTTTCAAAAATAGCAAAAATATGAATATTACTTTAGAACTGTGCAGTGCTGTAGCTGCTTAATCAGGCCTACTACACTATTGTATGTTAATACTGATCATTATGGTGGTACTTGGAGAGACAGTTTTTTTCTGAGGTGGTACTTGGTGTAAAAAAGTTTGAGATCCACTGGTGTTTATAAAAAAGAAAAACAAACAAAGAGAGTCACGAAAACCCTTTTGCACATGGAACTACTTTCTTCCATTATTCCTTCACATCTGCAACTGACGTCAGAACAGCAGAAACCGTTGCTCATTCACCAACATTACTTTAGAGCTAGTATTTGTATTTTTCTCCAGCCTAATGTCTAAAGTGATGATAAAACAGGTAATTTTTTCTCACATTTTATGATTATAAGACTTGATGGCATAAAATGCAATGTCATCAACAGAGATTTCCCAGTATTTTTCTGTTTAAATCAGGATATCGTAATAATTAATCCCGGAAAAAACAAAGCAAAGCACACACTACCAGTTTAAGTGGTATAAATACAGTACTACAACATACAAAATAGAGAGATCAACTTTGAATGTCACTTATCTGATTTATAATGATTTGTTCAGCTGTAGTTTGAAACTTTTATGTTGAGAAAACGCTGAGTTTTTCTCCCTCTAAGGACTTATTATGCGGTCTCTGTAGCCATCTTGATGTGGAACGTCAACCGTCACTTTCTTTGGTCTGCTCAGATAGGCTGATGGCGGCCGCTGCACTGAATCTCAGAAATTATAAATGTTTTAAAATAGACACTATCCTTATGAATAAACTGCATAGTTAAAATCTAAACAACTACATACTTGATTAAAAAAGCCTCAAAAGTACATTATGTTGTCCAACAGCTGCAATATTTGTCAAATTGTAAAGTGTCCTCTGCTTGTCGCTGTATGTGGTTGGAGTAATGCACAAAGGTGAAGAGGCTGTAAAGTGATGTTTTTTTGCAGAATATCGCACGGCTATCAGTTTCATGACCCAGACAGAACAGTTTTACAAATTTTAGATAATTACAAAAAAAAAATGATATAAAAAAGTATTAATTTAGGAACATTTTAATATATAATAATCATGAAAATCTTAAATTAATTCAGTTTGAAATGTCAAAAATAGGCTTTAAGCCCTGTTCACACCAAAAACCATAAATGTAAAATATTAGCATTCATGCAGTGATGCAGTTTCTCAATGTCAAGTTCAAAAGTCTTTTAATAACCCTCAGTAGCTCTTCTAAGTAAAGCAGGATGGATTGTCAGTGTTTTAATTGTTTATTTGTTGTAAAAAAAAATCCTAAAATGATCTGGGACAATGGGATTGTTCCTCTTTGTCATTATCATCATAGGTGTGGTTTGGACTAAATGAAGATTGAATTTTGAAACTGTGCTTCATTGTCATGGTTGTTGTCTCTGGTATGAATAGGCCATCAGTCTTACTGAATTAGTTTTTGCTGCATTTTCCATAGAACAATTTGTCTGTGGCATTTTTGCAAATTTCGTGGTTACATTTATACAG